AGAATCCAGACTGCCACCCTGAACATCAAGGACTACAAATCCCATATGAGCTGTGAGTAGAATAGGTGAATCTGTTAATTAGTTGCATCTGGGACTTTTTTTTTAACTTGGTTAAAATAATCTAATTTGTCTGTAACTTGTAACTCTTAAGCGTGTCTGAAGGGAAGGTGTATTTTAAAAAGACATCCTTTTGCGATGGAGATTTCTAATAAAACTTTAAAAGTACTTCTGTCACTCACACTCCGTCATGCGCCTTTTGCTCAGTTTGTTACCTCACCAGTGTTGGGCGGGAAGGGGAGGCTATGGATGTAACTGTACATTGCAGGGGACAAATAGTCACTGCTGAATCCATGCCTTCTTTCATCTCTCTTCAGTAACATTTGGGCTGTACAATCCTATACCCACTTGGGAGTGAGACCTACTGAACCAACAGGTCTGACTACATTAGAGGTGGACAAAGTACAGCCTACTGGCTACATGCAGCCCCCAGGGTGATTTTGTAACCCCAAAAGCCCTATGGGAATCAATATCTAAAATTGTTTTTCTACCAAAAGGCCCCAAATAATGTCTACTCTAGGAGGTATAGGGGGGATGGGGGGCATTTTAAATCCAGGCGAAGTACCCCTTCCTTTTCTAAACAAGGAAGTGAACTCTCTGTTGCCTTAAAATGGCCTCTACTAGGCCTAAAATGGGCCCAGGAATGGTATAAAACATTGCAAAATGTCCTCCCTGCCTTTTGAAGGATCTCTTGGGTCCCTTCTGCTTCTGCCTGAGTTGATGGGATCCCTTGAGATCATCTAAAAATTATGTTGCCACCACCTACTGATTTGACCTCCCCTCCTTTCCCCTAGTAACTCAATAGGAAGTTACTTTGGGATTAATTTCCATCTCTGAGGCTTCATAGGGCCTTTGCAAACTGCTAGAAATAGTGCAAATTGAGTCCACTTTAACTGCCCTGGCTCAGTGCTAGGGAATCATGGGAATTGTATTTTTTTCTGAGACATTGAGCCTTCTCTGTCAGAGAGCTCTGGTGCCACAATAAACTACAGTTCCCATGATTCCCTAGCACTGAGTCAGGGCAGTTAAAGTGGCCTCAATTTGCACTATTTCTGGCAGTCTGCAAAGCCCCCCTGTCTAACCACAAAGGGAGTAGGTCCTTCATCATTCTTATCAAATTTTTACTCAGAAAGTTGCATGGAGATTTACCTCAAAAAAGTTCTAGAAGCTGACACAACTCTGATGGCTAATTCACTTTATATTTTGTACTTGAACACAGAACACACAATAGTCCAACTTTGAATTCATTAATATGAGGATGGTTTGATCATGAAACCACTCAGAATATATTCACATTTTATCCAAATTATAAATTATAAATAAAAGCAATTTGTTCTCATTTATTCCCATCTAAATTATTGGGCCTATATATATATATATATATATATATATATAT